ATTTTGTGTACTGTCAACTGTGTTCATCAATTTCTTTATTGGTATAAGCTTATCTAATACATGATTTATTACAATACATTCGTGGCGCGAAGAGAATTTTCTTTTAGAATTTATCTCTTAGAAAATCATGGGAATTGTGAGACAATTATGTATGATATTGGAAGAATTTTTTTGGAGTTTCTCAGATTAAATATTTGTCACAATAAAAAATATTAATATGTACATAGTAAATCTTATTGTGATAGATTATTAATATTTTTTATAAATATATATTATTTAGAGAAATTCTTATAAAATTCTTTCAAAATTATATTGTCTTACGATTAGCATGATTTTCAGAGTAAATTCTAATAGAAAAATTTAATTTACAATTTTTTTAATTTTTAAAATTTTTTCTAACAATAAGAGAAATTCTCTTGGATATCATTTATTTTGAATAAGATATAAATAATTTTTCTGAACACTAATCTATAAATAGATTTTTACAAAACATATTATAACGCAAATTTCGTCTAGTTTTATCTTTCTAATGTGAAATTTTAATTTGAAAATCTGATTTTCTATTATTTACCATTAAAATGCAAATTTTAAAGTTACACAATTTTGAGAAAATCGTTGAAAAATCGATATTTAACAGTTGACAGATGTTGACAGTTCCTATCTTTGAAAATATTGCGAATTTTGGAGAAATCTTACACTTACATCAAATTAATGTTACACTCGTTTTCGCAATAGAACGCAATAGAAGATACAAAATTTTATAAAGATTACACGATTTTACGAAAAATTGACGTTTAACAGCTGACGATGTACAGTTCCTATGTTTGAAAAAAAGGCAAATTTGTTTAAAAACACAAATAATTTACAAGAATATTTGTTTTCGCAATAGAACAATTCATATCTTTTCGAAGGAAACAACACTTTAACTTCGCACATGGGATCCACACGAGTGGAAAGTCTAATTACAATTAGACGGTGGCAAATGCGTGCTTTTAACTTTCAAAGGCCAGGGGGATTCCGTGGACTCGTTGCGCAAGTTAACTTTCATGAGCTACTCTTAGAGGCAGTGATTTTCGTTTGCGGAGCACAACGTGTGTTTGCTTCACCGTCAAATAGCGTGACGCTATAAAAGGCGAGGAAACACGACGACGCGGCTATTCTGTTCTCCGATGATGATCGTTAGCGACAAGAGCAAGTAGTTTCCGCCGGCCTACAACCATCGTAGCTGCTGGAGGCCGATAGAAACCCCTTTCCTTGTCGTTTTTATGGCTCAACCTCCGCCACGCTCTTCCGTCACGGTGCTATTCTTCGTAAAAAGCTCGTCGAAGAATTTCTTTGCACGATTCTCTCTCGCGATTGCGCTCGAAATAATCTTGCTTCAAGCACAAACTATTTCTCCTCCACGATTCAAGGGCTTTCTTGCGTCAGTTTTGACAGATTGTCGGTGAAATTGTTAATCATTAAAATTAATAATTATTTAAAAATATAACAATGTATTTTTTTATTTTATAATGAAACAAAATTTAATGTCTTTTGTAATTCGATTTTTATCTTAAGAAACTATCTTTTCAAGTAAACTTTCGTAAACTTAGATATGCAGGCCTCTAAGTTCTGACATAAATTTTCTTATTTGTTCTAATTTCTTATCAGTTCCTTTTCTTCGGCTGAATTCACTATAACAAAGTTGCTATCTTTAGACATAACATATAGTAGTGACGGGACAGAAAGTAAATTTGCCGTATCATTGACCTTTGTCTACTTTTTCGGTTTTCAGCAGTCTTGATTGTGATGCACTCGAAGAGATATATCGAGTTTTATCGGTGAACTATTTTGGCCGATTGCCAAAATATACGAATTCTTTTGCGAGAGTGTTCCATTATTCACAATCTCCTCGATTCTTTTTTTCTGCATATGTCGTATCTCACTTGATACGATTCAATGAAAAAGCCAAACTGTTTGATTAATTGTTGAATTGAATATCGCATATAATTAATCTTCTGCTCGATGAATGCACAAATCTTGTTCTGTCGAATCGTCATCTTGCGTTGACGTGATCTTCTCAGCAGGAAGGTAGCATCCAAAATATGCTCGATAAATTATTCGGCGTTTGAAAAGAGCGAGAGCTAATGTTTTAATTATTTAAAAATGATGTAGATCTGTTTAACGACAACGTAGAACATTCACTCGTGCAAATATATGTTTCTGTTTTACATTTAAAGTTCACACACAAAATGCGTTCTATAAATAAAGAGTAAGACATATTCCTTGTAAGAATTTACCTTTGTGTAGTATTCAATAATATCTCGTAGCTCGCGCAGAAAGGCTCCGAAAAATGGCACCACAGGACATTCTGGCATCGCGAGAGCGCGAGCGAGTGCACGCTCATATTCGGAAGACAGAAGGGCGGAGGAGAGATATTCCATAACCGGTATAGGCTCGTTCACGCTATGCCAAAATGGCTTTAGCTTGTTGGTTCTGAAACAAAAACGTACACGTCCCTATAAGACGAGAGACATTTCTTTAGACATACACGGAGAGAATTTTCTCTTCAAATTTGTTGACCTTAAGGTCAACTGGTAATTTTTCGACAATATTGGAAGAATTTTAGGAGTTTCTCTGATATATTTACCATAATAAAAATATTAATCTTATTGTGATAGATATTGATTTTTTTTATTTTTTATTAAAAATTAATAAATTATTTATAAATATAATAAAATAATAAATTCTAACAATTAGAGAAAATTATCTCTGTGTAACATTAAAAGGATAAATAGCTATATACTAGTAATATCATACTATATGATACATATAATTTAAAATTTTTTTATATATATTATATAAATAAAAGAATGTTAAGAGGGATTATTTAAATTATGAAACGCGTAAAAGATTTAACGGATAAATCGTTGGTTAGAGATTAGCGAGAATTATTTATATAAATGAGATTTAATATTTTGACTTTGTAATACTCAATTGAAGTAACAACGTTAATTCCTACTTAATATCTCAATCTTATACACCAACATTGCACTGTGGTTTACCCTTTGCAAAATTACTAAGCTTAAGTTCATCTAAGCTAAGGTTAATTTCAGCAGTTAATGCTGCACTAAAAGCATTGATTAGTCGAATGCGAAGTTAATTTGGAAAAAGGAGATTGAAAAATATTTGTCTTCGAAATAATGGGTTAACTTTTGATAGAAATAATTTTATTTTTTTTTTTATTGAAACGAGAATTAAAGCTACAAACATTCATTTTTTTTTTGAAGAAGAAAAATGTTCCAATCAGAAATTTTATTTCTCAAATTTTGACACGTATTGCATCTAACGCTCATAATACGAAAGATCAATATTTGAGAAACGCGAAATTATTAAGAAAACAACATCTAAGCTGAGGTTAATTTTAGCAGTTAATGTTCCCTAAAAGCATGATTAGTCGAATGCGAAATTAATTTCGAAGGGGATGAAAAAATTGTTTTCTTCGAAATAATGGATAAAATTTGATATAAATAATTTAATTTTTTTCTTGAAACGAGAATTAAAGCTACAATAAATGTTCCAATCGGAAATTTTCTTTCTCAAATTTTCACGCGTATATTACATCGAACGCTTATAATCCGAAAGATCAATATTTGAGAAACGCGCAATTATTGAGAAAACGTTCGCGTCAGTTATAGCTTAGTACATCGTAACCGTGCATAGCGGTATATAATTACGACAGTTTACATTTACGTGTGCCGTATACGATTCGAAATTAAGCCGGCTCGATGCTTCCACCAGTATCCGGATGCAACAACATGTCGCGCGCTGTATGCAAACAGCTTGTTCCGCTTCGCGTATTAGCGGTCGTTGAAAATCGAGAAGCGTTTATTACTACGGCGTTAATTATCTTCCCTCTTTAAGCGTACCCTCTGGAGAGCTCTGGGTATGTATAGCTTTGCGAATGGTTGAAAACGTTTCCGAGTAACGTAGGACAGTTAGCTGGCTCTCCTACAACTACGGTCGCACTAAAACGCTACTCCCGCACGAAACTTTTTATCTGCTCATTCGCAGGACGGCGCAGGATGTGTGTTGCTTTACAGTGGTCTCGGGCAATAAAAAGTATTTTTATTTCCGCGCTGCTTTTTCCGATGGTATAACAAACGTAAAGGTTTTCCTCGATGCCACTTAAGACAAAATTCGTTCGTTCGTTCGTTTCCCGGAACGAGTATAAAAGGCACGCGGTGACATTTAATGACGACCAGCGTCGTTATCCGCGAAAAGGATACGAGGAGTGATGACCGAACATCGGGGCGTAAAACGTCGGGACTGCGGATAAAAAGCCCTTTTCTCCATCCGTGGAAATTTCTATTATCAGGGATGTTACGCTCATCGGCGCAATTTCCTCCGCAGTTTCCGAGTCATCGATTGAAACAGACGATATAGTTATTGTAGGTATTTCGGTTAGGGTCAGTAACTACTCGATATATACATTAGGGTGGTCGTTATATAGGTTTTTTCAAAATTTTAATGTTGGATGGTCGTAAATTAGCTCTAAATGTAGAAAAAAAAATCTCTAATTTTTTCAGATTTTTATTTTGAGTCCTGAGTCTCCCTGTTGGCATGTAATTTTATTAATAATTTTATTAATACCACAGTTCTGCAGCTGCTTCTGTCATCAATTTTTTTGTAAATAGTTTGAAATTTTAGTGAAAAAAATTGAAACTATTTGAAAATACCGAAAATATAGTATAAAATAACATAAACTAGTTAAATAATATAAATAGCGGAATAGCCCATATAATATTTATGACTATCTTTTATGAAAATTAAATAATTTTGTTCACTACTTTTGCAGCTGACTCCATCTAGAACTGAAGTAAATTAAGTATTTTTTCAAATTATAAAAAATATAATATAAATAATATTTAAATAACATATAAATGATAAATAAATGAACTGATATAAGAATATAACATAACACGTGTAAACAGGGAGACTCAAGGCTGAAAATAAAATTTGAAAAAATTAGAGAATTATTTTTTCTACATTTGGAGCTGATTTATGACCATCCAACATGATGTTCAATTTAACGACCACTCTAATATACATGTATCGAGATCGAGATATACACATAGTGTGTAGGTTAGCACGTTTTATTACAACTGTATATGTTACCGGGGACAAAGATCGGTTAGAAATTTATCAATGGGGCGCGAGGAAGTCAATCTCTCTTGAATTCTTCAAGTGGAAATAAAGTTCCGATTCTTCTCTCCCTTTTTTTCCTCTTTTCTCGTACTTTTTCTCTATCAGAATAAATTTCTGAAGATATTTACAACGCAAAGAGAGGACGTTTTCTCCATTTATATTTGCACGTGGAATATTGGGATCAGAATTTCCAAATTATTTTTTCGTTGTAATTTTAGAATCAGCAAGAAACCTAAGGCCGGCTCCACAAGAGGTAATTTAAGGCTTAAACCTTAAGAAATTGGCCAATTATGATCAAGTATGAGAAAAATACTGTGATTAGTCAATTTATTGAAGCATAGAGCTTAAATCACCTATGTGGACCGGCTTAATAAAGTATTCTGCTTCAGATGTCGGGATAAAAAAAGCTTGTCTCCTCGTGAGAAAATTTTCGAATATTTTTTCCCTCTCAAATAACGATATTAATTCGATTATTCTATATTTTTATACCTTCTCACACACATACACATTATATTCTCGTCACGCGTAATGAAGACGTAAATTAAAAAAAAAAAAAAAAAAAAATAAAACAATGCAAAATGCAATCTCAGAAAGTTTCATTTGCAAACGGATTCGCGAACAAAAACTTCAATAAAAGGCGCCCTTTGACGCTTAGATACGATAACATAAAATACGATGATTAATCAAATTTCCTCAGTCGGGAACTCCTTTCAAAGGGGCGATGCGTTTTCAAAAACTTTTTACGCGAAATGTTCTTTGAAACTTTAAAAGTTTAACATGCAAATATCGCTTTGTACTTTTTTCCGCGGCACTTCTCTCACGCCAGGCGAGAATTAATTGTTAAATAGGATAGGAGGAACGATTTTACGGAAGAATGCGCAAGTTGCTTGTACTCTCGCTCTCTCTCTCTCTCTTGTTGATCTCTGAGAAATTAATGACACACATTCATTACGCGAATTTACTTCTCAACGCGAGATTATCTTATTCTCCTCGCGAGGCATCGGATTGAAAGAGGTCGCAGTTCCGAAAGAGTTCCCTCGCGAAAATAATGCGATTACGTCGTTCAATCGTTTCGGGACGTGGGCAGAGCATCGAGTTGAGAAACATTCGCAGAATGAACTGTGTAGTGCTCGATAAAATTTTTATGGAATGCTCTCAATAAAGCGAATTGTCACGAAATGTCACTTTGGCTTGCGACAAAACACTAATCTTACTAAAAGAGAGATATATAATAATATAATTTTTTAATTTAGTGAATTCAACAGTAAATATTTTTACACGATACATTATTTTTATTATATAATTATATCGTCTTTAAATCGAGTGTAAAATGATCTTACTTTTATGCTATAGAATATCTCGAGTTTTAATTTTTTTTATTGTTTTTCTCTCCTTTTGCATATACTTTTTCAATAACTTTTTAAATTTTAATTTAGAATTAATCTTTTCTTAATAACAGTTTAATCATTCATGGCCATTTTTTGTTTATGAATATTAAATATCTAGGTGCTCTCATCTCAATTTAGATTGTTATCGTGCTAAAGTTTACTGACCGAAATATTATTTAAATTAATATAAACTAATAGGAAGCAATCTCTGGTAAATATACCTATACAAGTTTTTATATCGCGCTTTGAGTTAAGGACTAGAAACTAAAAAGTAGGGCACTATATTGATTTTTTAGCATCTTTCCTTTAATAAAATATTACGTATATATAAATAAATAATTATTAATGATTTATTTAGCAAGTATTTTTGAACATCTATCCGTTGATTTTTGTTATGATTAGCAGGTGACTTATATTTCTCATTTCTTTATCGTTTAATAATAATGTGTTTACTATCACTTACTCTGATAAGATATGTAAAATGTACGAGATAGTATAGCAAAGTATGGGAACATAGCCGGAAGCAAATCGCATAACATTTATGCTTCAGCCATGGAGTAAAGGGAGTCTGCTATAAGTATTTCAATCAAGCTGCGAACATTCTCCGGTTTGAAATCCAAGCTCCGTTGAAAGTTGAATTTATGTATAGCAGAAATATGTATACGAATCAAGTCGAAAGAGAGAGAGTTTAATACAATTTACATAATACGTTATGCAATGACGTTAATTTTCCGAGAAAAAATCTTAATCGAGAGAGTAGGTACACATGTTTGAAAATATTTAAATAATGCGATGCGAGATTCTCAAAATATCGGAATTTTACGAGGATAACGTCTAGGGGAAGCAATTATAGGACAAGCATGTTTTGATGTTCATAAGGCGAGTCTAGAGAGATCGAGCTGTTCGAGGAACACTTGACCCTAATGATCGTCATCTTATGAGATGGATATGCATTTCCATAGAAAATTGGTAGTCGAATAGGGATCGTAACTGTGTTACGATCGAAGTCTGAGGGGATAAAATATCTTTGATCGCTGGTTCGTCACAAATTTCAGATACACGGCTGCGAAAATATCAAAGATTTTGAAGTAATCAAAGAATATCGTTATTTTCCAGGGATTTAAATCTCTATCAGGATTGGATCTTGTCCAATGAAGTATAATACATAGGATACGTTTGAAGAGTATGATACTTGTTTAACAGGGTTTTTTTTATTATTTAACTACCGGAAAGATCTGAATATTTTTTGCCGCTGCTTGATCACTGCTCGCGTTTGGTACGAACTTTATTCAGCAAAGAAATTTCCTTGTAATCGTATCAAGCACAGTTTGATCCGATTTGTGAAGATACTACGATAAGTTTTTATCGATGAAAATTCGAAACTTAACTCTCGGTTATAAAACAACTATAAGAAACTTATTGCCGTCTTACTGTCTTACTTATTATTTACTTAGTAACACATGTTAGCTTTAATAAAAACATAAATATTGAATCTTTTTATATTTTAAAGCGAATGAATTTTGTTTTATTAAAGCATGAGTGGTTCTATATAATAATTGCGATGAGAATATTCCGCTTGAGAACTTTTTTCGATTTTTTTCCATAAATCTTTAAATAAGATGAGAATTTTTAATTTTCTATTTATTAATCGCGCATTAAAACTGCAATAAAATTGTTAGAATTGTTAGTTGCTGTACGTTTGCGAATATAAATCTTTATTATGATACTCGTATTATATATCTTCCGAAATATATAAATTTTTGCTAATTTAATTTTTCATAAATTCTAATGGAATTTTTCACAGAACGCAATTATACAATAAGAGATTAAAACTTAATAAACACTTTTTATCTCTATATTAAATTATACAGATGTTAGCTATATAGAGTCTAATTATCGGTTTTTTTCTGAATTTATTTGCATGTTATTTAATCTTATTCTCCAAGCAAGAGATAATTTTTCTCATAGGATGGATAGTTTCTCTCGAAAAATTATACTTTATAAGTCTTGTTTATCAAAATGTAAACAGATTTAAAATGCGTTACAAATACTCTTAAAATTGAATATTTATTATTTTTCATAAATATTGAGGTAATTTTTTTTCATAGTTTTTTATATTTCACATTTATAATAAGACTCGACGTACGTAGGTACAATATGCATTCAAAAGTTTATTGTTTTATCTTTGTTATAATAAATCTGGAAAGGAAAGCATTTATTCTTTTAAAAAAGTTTAAATTGTAGAAAAATATAAATTCAGAATTAGATTGGAAGAAGATTAATTGAACAAGAGCGATTTCAGAAGTCGCGATATCATGAATAATAAATCCAGAAAAGTTCCAGGAAAGTCTCGAGTTTGGATTAGTGTCGCAGATCTTTTTAGGGATTATATGTTTTACAGATCCTTTCCAAGGACGTGTGTAATTTGTTTAAAATTCTCATCTTATTTATTTCAAGTATGTAAAAATTGCGAATTTATAAAAAAAAATAAATAACAATATAAATATTATATGTAATATTAATATTTTTCAGCTGCGCGTGCACATAAAAATCATAACTTTGCAAAAATAAAAATTCATAAATAACTTCCTATGAAAAATAATTCCATTTCAAACTATTAGCTAAATTGTCTAAGGTTAAACATTGCATCAAAATTTCATATGCGAAGCATGTATCGAGATTTTGTTGGGTGAGACGTGAGTTTAATATATTGAAAATATTTGAGAGAAAATATTTAAATTTTTTAAAATATGAACTTTTTTAAAAATTCCCTCCAAGCATGGTAATTTAATAAATGAACCAATTGTGACGTAGCGTAATTACAGTTACGCGTATACGCACACGCGTGGCCGACACTGTAAAAAAAAATATGTAATATATTACACAAAAATATGTAAAATTACATAAATAATAAGTGTAAAATTACACGATAAATAATAGAAATGTTTACCTTTTCATTATTTATCATGTAATTTTACATTTATTATTTATGTAATTTTACAAATTTTTAATGTAATTTTACATATCTTTTTACAGTGGAGGGTCTAAAGTCTTGAATCCGATCGCAAAGTAGTCTTTCGTAATGATCTATCGGTGCCGGGAGCAACTTTGTCCTTGCGGTTAGATGCTTACGCTAGGATGAAGATGGATGGACTTCCGTAATGCGGCGCGAGAACAAGAAATTATATTATACGACTTTCGTTGAAGTACACACGGGGCTGACTTATGGACCGTAATAAAGTGAATATTGCAGGAAACGGGAGATAGAGCGGTTCAAAGATTGATCTTTTAAGTTAGCCGGATTTAACAAGTCGACGTTCGCCTAGCGTTAATGGCGCAGACGTTACGTTACGTATACTTACTTCAGACCGGCGATTATCTCCATGGCTGAATTAAAGTTTCCGGTATTCCAACAGGTTAGCGCGACGCGTAAAAGACAAGACAGCACCGCCTGTCGTTCCTCTATCGTAACACCGTCGGTGATTGCCTTTGTGACCCATGAGCTTACCTGGTTAACAAATTTGTGATACTGATTATTTATTGCTGCAGTTGAAAAATTGGTGTTAAAAACAGATATCAAATGTTATACGGTTCACAAAAATTTTTGTGTTAATTCAATATAATATGGATATGTTAAGTGGTGACACAAATACTGTGTTAATATTTTGACGCAAAATAAATGCAAGGCTCGAGTAATTTAAAATAAATTTTGTGGAAAATTAACAAAGTTTTAATGTAAAAATATTAACTCAAAATATGTTAATTTGAGATTTTATCATCCCCACTTGTATTATAAAATAAATCATTTTTATTGTGTAAAATTGAAAATAGATAATATAGCACATCCCCTTTTCCAGTTAACATTTAACACTCAATTAACACAACAGCAATAGGTTAAATTAACACATGAATGTGTTAAATCTTTAACACAAAAATTTTAACAGGGGACCGTTTTAACAAAAAAAATTTCTACTGTGTATAATAATTAAAATATCTCGCTGAACTGAAATAATACATGTCTGAGATGCAATTTTGACAATTCGCATTTATGTAGTTGTGTAATTTAATAAATAAATGAATAATTTACACGATTTTTTCTTCTACAGAATGTATTAAATGATATGCGAATCGTTTTATATATAAAATTAATATTACAGATTTATTAAATTACAGCTTCGCGCAAATTTGCTTTAACGTTTACTTATCAGTTCAGTGACACTACGATGTTACGAGAGATAAAACACAAGCGACGACAATAATAGGGATTGAATTATTAAAAATTTAGTTTATTAGTTTGTGATTGTCTTTTTTATTGACTTTTATTGGAATTTCGTAAAAATAAAATAAAAATAAAAATTATCGCTTTTGCGCGAATATTGCGGTTCGAGTCGCTATAAATTTCATTTTAGAAAAAAAAAAAAAAATTACGATCTATGTTTGCAAAATAATTATCGACGAGCGGCGGAAGAATTATTTATTCGATCACTTAACGCGCAATTGATTTTCGGACAATCAATATCGTCGGAAAATGTCACTCAGAATTTTCCAATGATTCTCTCCATCCCCGAGGCTTTTGTTTAGCCCGACGATAAAGAGAACGAATGTGGAAAGAAGAGAAATGGAACACCCGACGTTTTCAACCTTGGGCGAGAATTTAGAGTGGAAAATGGCAGATGGCACGGTGGGTAAGCGAGGTCAGGTGATATCCGCATATATGTATACACGCACGAGTGGAGTAAATAGGCGAAAGTGTCGGATGAAAACGTCGAGAAAGCCACTCGAGAAGTGGATACCTCATTAAAAGCGGCTGATGAGGGTTTCCGCGAGACTAAAGACCGGAGGTTCTTGGCGTGGAGCTTTCACAATTGTGATTCGCGTCCATTACTACCCTCACATAAATGCACGTTGTAATAATATTTCGCTTATTAGGGATGAATTTGCGAGACGTTCTCCGTAATCATTGTTTCTCACGCTGAGGCAATGCAAGCCGCGAGTAGTTAAGGGTATTAATTAAAGGGAAGGGACCTATGTACCCCATTAAAATGATTGATAAGGGTCTGCACGGGCACTGTGGCGACAGGCCAGGAAGTGAGCTCCTCGGTTTGGGTCGAGTTGTTGATGGTGCTGGGTTTGCTGCAGCTGCGACTCGGCGACGGGGGTGGCCTGGCAGGTGGTTTCTGCGTGGTCGGATCCTGCTCCACGTGCCTTAGGTACTCGCTCGGCGGTACCTGGTAGAACAGCTGGTACTCGATTTCCGTCAACCTGAGCGCCACCTCCTCGGGGAAGTGCAGCAACTTGTGCAGATCCTCCAGCTCCTCAGAGCTCTGAGGCGGCTGCGGCTGCGGCCGCTTCTCCAGCTCTGAAATGTTGATTTTAGCATTGTACTTTTCTCCATTTTCTCTTCTTTTTTTTTTTTTTTTTTTTTTTATACGTTACGATGTAACGTCGAAAAAGATACGCGAGAAAAAATCAATGGAGCTTTAGCTGAGAATGGAATGTTATTTTAATCTTGTTACACGTTGTGTTAAATAATATATGTATATATGTGTGTAGATATTAAAGTTATCTTAAAATTGAAGATTCTCTCTTAGGCTATATTTTTGCGGTTTATTTTTCTCGTTTTTGATATAATGTTAGCTATATTTTTATTTGTGTTTTTAAAGTTGTAGCATAATTTGAATCTGCTTGCACTTACAAAGTTATACAAGATGAATACTTAAAAATACAGTATGTAACTTTCGAGAAAATGTGTCAAACTTTTAAACTTGAAATGTGGCATTATGTGTCGAAAGGATAGGATTAAATAGTTTAGCTTTAACAAGATTATATGATACAAAAAATGAGAATATAAGACAACGTTAAAATACTAAAATAGCATAAATATAAAAAGAGAGATATATGTGACATATTTTACAATATTTATATATATTATTTTTGTCAAAGAAGAAACTTGAAATACATAATCTTTGTTTTCAAAATAATTATCGAGCGAAAGAATCATTTATCGATTACTTAACGCGATTATTTGGACAATCAATATCGTTGAAAAATCAATATCGTATTCATCTATTCACATATTAAAGTTTTGAAGCATTTTCGGGAAAATTTACATTTAAATTTTATTTGATTGACGCTTGTAAAAATTTAGTGGAAATTATTTTAATATTTGCTAAATTTTTTTCTTTTATTCATATCACACGGCGTAATTATTTTCAACGTGTTTACATCAGAATTTTCACATATACATATATTATAAATATAAATTCCATCTGTTTAATGAACTACGATAATTTTCATATCCAATTACAAATTTAAATTCAATATTAGTGTGATATTTATTAAATTAATCGTTCAAATTACAATTTAAAATATGTGAAAATCTGGGATTATTAATAGTGAATATTTAAATCAAAATATTATATTTCACGCTGCCGTGCATCTGGCCGACATAGTTAGTGATTGCAGTTTCGAGCGTACCAATTTGTGTGAAAGAAACACGGCAATTTTTTACCTATCGTTTAACATTTGCCGCGCGCAAAAAGGTCAGCTTGATGATAGTTTTTCGCCGACGTGAGCGATGCACAAAATTCGACGCGACCGACGAATAAAAGCACCCTTTTAGGTCTTCGATGAATAATTCCACGCTGCGGGTATCGAGCTCTCTATCGTTGATGCTCCAAAATAAAAACACAGTTTACGATATTTTGAATTTCGACACCCGGTACGCGAAACAATCTAACTACTAGATATAAAATATAAATCAAAGAAAAACAGAGAAATATATGTTTGCGTAATCAGACATTGAAATTCCATGACATACGTATTTAGAAATTGAAATTCCATGACATACGTACTGCACAGATTGTGTTTTTTAAAAGAGAAATATATCTTTCTCAACCAATAATTTGTTTCAATAAAAGAATATTTCTTTTATGACATTAATACAAAGAAAAATTTGAAACATGCGCGTATGAAGTTGCCAACAATTTCAACCTGACCTAGTTCTCTAAAAAAAAAAATAAAATAAAATAAAAATAAAAATAAAAACGATTAAGAATGCCGCGTCTCGTTAAAATTGAGTACTGACATAATGCATGCTTATGAGACGGCACAGAATTATGCGAGTGCATTCATTCGCAGTGACATTCGTAGAGTGCCACAGAATAATTCGAGGAATCTCGAATATTGCGAGCCTCCTCGTACGTACTTGCCTCCAGCAATGGAATAATATGCAGAAACGCATATTTTTCTTCCGTCGTGCTGGTAGTTATTTTTTTTCTACGTAGGATAATCATATCGTCTATATATGTGCGCTTTGTTGAATTTAAAATTATTTCCAGACTGTCGTATAACTTTTTGTTTGTTCGATTTCGCGTTACTTTTTGAAATAATGCCATTCGAGCAAATAACTGCGTAAAAACTGTGTCAAAGGAAGATAGAATTCTTGGGAAAAAAATGAAAAATTTATGTGACGATTATACTCCAATACTTTGATGCAAGCCTCGGGCGAGATTGCAACAGAAGCTGAAATACAAGCGGATGGAGAGTATCGATAAAACAAGAGACAAAAAAAAATCCCACGCTCGTTAGTTTGAACGGAATCTAATATTCAGGCAACTAACGTTAGAAAAGTGTAGTGAATAAAAAAAGGAATCAAGTTATAAATACCCCTTCAACACGGAATATTTGCAGAATGTCTTTTCAATTTGCGAAGTCATTATTATCATTCGCGTATCGATCATTTTTTTCGAAAGAGATCAAATGATTAAAACACGAGATTTTTTAGTAATATCTAACACAGGGTGTCTAGCGGTCAGGGAAATCCGAAAAACCGGGTATTGTCAGGGAATTTTATAAATATGAATTTTTTCACATTATTCTATATCTGTCTCAATAATTTGAAATTTTTTATTATATAAATATAACTGTTCCAGCACGCTAATTTTTTGTGTTGTTAAAAATTGATTCATCTACAGCGTATTCGTTAATTTATATTTTTATCGCCGTGTTATTTTATTTCAATGTATTATATATTTCAAAATATATTACAATATTGTTCAAGAACTTTATTTTAATTCATTGTTTTATTAAAAATTAATACATTAATTTATTAAAAATGTTTTATTTAAAAGTTTTGTTGTAATATTAGATACTATTAAATATATTAAAATATATGTATATAATTTGTTAAAATATATTAAAAATAAAATTTGATATAATATATAAATAAAAAAAAATGATCATTTAAATAGTTTATAGTGACACGTTTGTTTCGATTATCATACATAATGCAGATTATAATTGATTTAAATTTTTGTTTTTTTTAACTTTCGAACCTTTTCATTGTTAAAAAAATATCTCAAGGATTTCATGATGCAAATTAAATATTTGGAAAAAATGATACTAAAAGTTAGGGAAAAAATGCATTTTTGGTCTTGGAAAATCTGAAAAAGTCAGGGAAATTTGTTCATCGAGTCCGCTGCACCCTGCTGCAGCAATATATCCGTAATGAAATCGCGTAAAAAATTCATCTGGTTCGAGCAGACGATAAGTAGAACGGTGATTCCGTCGCGAGACAATTCCGCTTGGTGAAATGCAGTTTCTCGAACAATGTTTGAGGCGGGCATACATCTTAAACGAAGTAATTGCTGATACCGCGATATACCGGGGCGGTGTTTCTACGCACATTGCTCTTATGCAAGTCGATTATCGTGTGATGTATAGCGTGAGATGGACCGATCTACGTGTACATGCTCGTCCATCAACGTCTTCGTGCAAACCCGGGTCCCAAGGATCTTAAGTCCTCGTGCAAACACAAACCGAGTGTGGACAGAGTAGTCAGAGCCCTGGCGTGCTCCGACCTACGTAAGCAGTCAATTGGCGAACCTTATCTGATAGTAGTGTGTACGATAATCCGATGAAGAGATTAATCAACATATCGGATCGAGAACACAAATGGCTATTGCATTATCATAGTGTATAGCTATAAAATGAAACCCTGCTTGAATTTAATCAAATCAATATACCCGTCACGTAGTGTGTATTGTAGTATTGAAAAACTTATATAGGGAAATCAAAAACAACTTAAAATACATATTTTTTCATCAGTTTGCCGATTGATCGATTGTTTTCTTTTTCTTTCTTTCTTTTCCATCTGGGTCGGAAATTGATCTTGACAAATATTCTTGCATCTGATTAAGCGAATACGTGTGACATATAAAAATATAATATCTTTAAACAAGATTTTTATTCCTTTTTGCGACCTTGTCTACTTGATTGACAAAATTTATAATATACACAGAATAAGATTATCCATTATAGCTCAATTTTAAGTGTCTCTATATTACAACCTGAAATTTAGTTATCATGCCTAAATTTTAGTTATGGTAACTAATATTTTTAGTTATAGTTAAACAAAGAATTCTATAACTAAAATATTAGCTATAGAAATTTCATAGCTAAATTTCATGAGTAACATATAGGGGACAGCTAAAATTTAGTTAGAGTTTCTAATTTTTTCTGTGCATGAGATTACGTTAGAGAAGCTGTAATAAGACTATGTTGCATATTGTATATATAATTTATTACAATAAGATAAAAATTTGCCATTTTATGCAATATATTCAATTTAGGATAATATCGAAGAACGATCTAAAAATTAATTATTATCTCGAAATGATCTGTCACCTTTAAATCGCGTGTATATTCACTCGCTAGTAGAAAAGCCTACGATGGGTCCGACAGAAAGAATAGCCAGGGTATCCAGCGATCAGGGAAATCTGGAAAACCGAGCATTATCAGGGAATTTTTATAAATCTGAAATTGTCAGTGAAAAGTCAGGAAATTTTACTATTTATCTGGTTTTTTTTCACGTTCTACATTTTTTATTAAATAAATATAAACTTCTTGACTCCCCACGCTAATTTTCTGTGTTGTTAAAAATTGATTTATGGTATCTACAGCGTGTTCGTTAATTTATATGTTTATCGTCGTGTTATTTTATTTCAATGTGTCTGATAGAGACAAAACTAAAAAATTTGATATAATATAAATAAAAAGGTAATTATTTAAATAGTTTATAGTGATATGTTTGTTCCGATTATCGTGCATAATGCAGATTGTATAATTGATTTAATTTTTTGTTTTTTTAACTTCCGCATCTTTTCCTTGTTGACAAAACTATCTCGAGGATTTCATGATTTAACATTTAATTGATTTATCGTATGCAAATGATATATTTGGAAAAAATAATACTAAAAAGTCAGGGAATTTTTTTCATTTTTAACTTCCAAACCTTTTCATTGTTGACAAAAATATTTTAAGAATTTCATGATTGACATAGATATATGCAAATTGTATATTTGGAAAAATAAATACTAAAAAGTCAGGGAAAAAATTAATTTTTGCAATTTTGTTTATCGAGTCTGCTGGACACTCTGAGACTATTTTGCATATTGTATGTATAATTGTAACAATAAAATAAAAATTTGCCATTTTATGCAATATATTCAATTTCGAATAAGATCGAAAAACATGACCAAAAAATCAATTATTATCTCGAAACGATCTGTCAGCTTGAAATCGCGTGTATATTCACTCGCTAGTAGAAAAGCCTACGATGGGTCCGACAATTTGCATATATCTATATCAATCATAAAATCCTTGAAATATTTTTGTCAACAATGAAAAGGTTTGGAAGTTCAAAATGAAAAAATTCCCTGACTTTTTAGTATTATTTTTTCCAAATATATCATTTGCATACGATAAATCAATTAAATGTTAAATCATGAAAGAATAGCTTACCTTATCAGGTGATGGTGCGGCCACGTGGGGTGGAGGAAGTGGAAGTGGCTGGGTCTGTCGCGCCGTCGAGGGAGATGTGCGAGAGCGGCGTGGCACGCTGCTCCGCAAAATCGCCGGGATCTGCCGTGGAATTAGTCCGACGAACGGGCCGGGTAATCCCCGCGTAGTTTCGCGGTCCGCATCAGGACGGCTCCATCGGTGTCGAGCCGATCGAAGCCCCTTTTCGAGCCCCCTTTTGTTGGGGCTTTCTTCTCCGTTCTCGTCTTGGCGTTCCTCTCAAATCTGGCGACGCATCGACCGTAATCTGAGGGAGAGAAGCAAAAAACCATGAAACTTGAAGTCTCTCTTGGATTTATTATCGAGAGAGAAAGAGAGTAGGGAAATAGCACGAGCATCGAGAGAGCGAACGATTTATGGCTCTTCGGCGAATCCACCGAAATTCATTCGAGCGGTCCGCGTCTCGTCTTTCTGCGTGTTCTCTCAAGAGCGGAATCTCTTCTTTTTTTTTTTTTTTTTTTTTTTTTTTTTATCGGAGTCGCGCCGGCAGATTTATCGCGTGGATTTTTAGGAAAACTCGTCCGGTTAATGAGCTCGCTTGTCGTCGTTCTCGAGTTTAATATGCATCGCAGTTGGAAATACTATTGGAATAGCACACTTGGGAAATGGGTTGCGAAAAAGAAATGTAGATAGAAAGATTTATACGAAATGCCCAGATTTTCTTATTATCTTATTATACTTGTATAATATAACTGGTGAGAAACTATTAGTGGCAACAATTTCCGAGATTTTAAAATTGCTTTTTTATATTCTTTTCACTCAATGATATATATATGTAGACTAATTTATAGAGTGTTCCTTGCGCTAAGTGCATTTTTCATTAAGGCATTAAGGAATAATAGACTGAAAATTCGCCGCCAAATCAGTTCGAAGAAAGTACGCTTAGTCGGAAATATTTTCTATATGAATAAAAATATGTAAATTATTGTTAATAAAAATAGTAAACATTTTTTCAATTATTTCCGAAAATAGATGGTTACTATATGAATGTCTCGGATTCAAAACACAGCATTTTTTTTCTCTTTTCCTCGTTGTTTTATGTTAAGGAACAAAAGATCGACAGATCGCGTTAAAAGAAAAATGCTCTGCAGTCTACAGAGAACAGGGAATATCTTTCACTAAAAAGAAAGCTAAAGAACAAAAAAAAAAATGAGTGAGAAATGGTCCCTCTTTTCGTTAAAATGAGCTCGCTGGCTTGAAGCCTAATTTGTATTGTCCAAGCAGTACAGATTTGCGTACGCAGTTATTGAAATAAAAGTGCTCTCACGACTGCCTAATTGCAGCCGATCGATGCACATTTTGATAGTCTTCCTCTTTTTCGTCTTTTAATTAAACGCAGATAAAAACGGATATCTATTTGTACGTCTAAAAATTCTCTAATTTATTTCACACATTAGATAACATTAAAAAATGTGACTAATTAAAAAAATCTAAATGAAGATAAATTATCCAGATGTGCAATTCCTTCTTTTTTAGTCTCTAGTGTGGATAGAAATGAAAACATTTCATAAAGTTAATTAATATATTACAAGTTTTAATAAATTCACATCGTTTCATTCTGTTAATTCCACGCATATCCTCTTTATTACCTCATTTATAACTGTACAGTTTCACATTGATGAATTAATCGAATGAGCGATGGTGGTAATTAAAGGACGCATTGTCCACTTTGGTATGCACTAATTTCCTGAATTCCACCCGAGTTTGATACATGGTGGGAGGAGAGCAAACTTTGCGTTCCGAAAATAAGAGATTATATATCCGAGCCGGGCTCGATAGGCAAGTTTCAAGTGACGTCGAGCATATCGCTGCATAGCGCATTCATTATTCGTTACGGCGGCAATTAATTAGAAATTCGTCTTGCGAGTGCCCGCACTCTCGCGCGCGCCAGAAACTTTCGGCGCGGTGTCGCGAGTTCGCCGGCACTTTGCGACCGTGTTACGTGAAACTTGGCGAAAGTGCGGACGCTCGTTAATCCATAAAGCGGCGCGGTTTCGCAGACTGCAGCTGCAAGCTGTCGCCGGCAGAACGCGCCGGCGTGTTTCACCTTTAAACTTCGGCGATGGGTGATAGAGTTCTCGGGGAGTCACATTCGATAACTTCATTTTGCAATCGCTCCCGCTCGTTTATATCAGTCTTTCGTTCGATTCGATTCACATCGATCGATCGAGCGAAAGATCGATCGATCTAGATTATTATTCGATGAACTCGGAGTGATAATATGTTCCGGGAATATACATAAGGATAGGGAAAGCCAAGATAAGAGAAAAAGGTGATATATTTATATAGTTAGCGACTTTTCAAAAGCTCGATTTTCTCCAGCTCCCGATAAGATATTTCTTTCACATCTCAAAAAAAGTCTATATAAAGTTGTAATTTATAATATGATTTAATGAAAGATAATTTTTCTTTCAAACTCGAGAAAATGTGTTCAATGTGCGCAATTTTTCATTGTTAAATGTAATCTGAATATGCCGTTTTGTAAAATGTTCTATCGCATTACAGCTTCGACAAATTTAAAATTAAAATTGCAGAGAAGGCTATTTCAAAACATTTTATTATCATATTACCATATTACGCGGCATGCGAATGACGTGTTGAAGTTTTATTCATTCAAAATTAAATATATTGACAGAACTTTCAGTCTTCAGACAGAATTTGTTGAAAAAATTGAAGCTAATAAGATTTTCATGATTAAATATATTGGATTTACTATAGAAAGCTTAATCTTTTCATAATTTTTTTCAAAGTTTTAACAAAATATATCTATTTTTTAATAGACATAATAAAAATTTAGTCATATACACATTGCATAATATATTAAAATACATTAAAATTATCACTTTTTCTAACTTTAATGTCAAATAAAAAGTGATGTGATGGTTTTATATAGATCAAAATTATCTACAATAGTTATTCTATTTTTTGCTATTATTAATTTATGTAATGCAATCTCGCGTCATAAAATATTAAAATTATCATTCTTTAAATTGAACTATATTCGATTATAATTTTTTTTCAAGTAGTCTAATTTTATACAAATTGAATTCTTCGCTTTGTTGTGCATAATTATTTCTTGCGCATTGTTCTCTCAAATGGCGGTGTAACCCTACTGTAGAAAGTTTGTAGCAGTGAAGAGATCGTCGCTGCACAGCTATTATCCATGAGTAGTTGCAATTGGCTCTTTGGAAACTCAGTACATGGCATGGAATACTTTATTAGCTGCGTTTAATGATCGACAATGAATGCGCCCGAGCCGCAATTGAAGCGAAGTTCCGAGTCCCGATTTCGCTATCGAGAACAGTTTCTTAGATCAATTCGGTCGAATAAATCACAGAGATTATACATTGATTCCATTAGAGAGTTATATATGACACGCGTATTATATAGCGCAGCGAATAATGTTACCATTAATTTTGTGAAATTTTTTTTTATTGAGAATATTTAATCATGCAAATCTCTTATATATTCAAAATAATTATCTAAATATACGATCTTGAGATTATTGGAGAAATTATGAAATTTAAAAAAAAATCAGAAAAAATAAAATGCATTCCAACTTAGTTTATAATAAATAATCAATAGAAATTAAATAAAAATTATTTATTTAGCAATATATTTATCTATATTTCGATATCTTCGCGGATTGAATTTGTCAAGATGTGCTTGATAGAATTTTTTTATAAATAGAAAAGAATATGATAATGGTTAGCTAATTTTAATTAGTCTTGAATTAAACGAAAAAAAATAAATGTTATGAGTTGAAAAACCAGAAAAAATCAGAGAATTTTTAAATAGTATCTGTTTAATAATCTTGTCTTAAAAATATGCATATATATATATTAGAAGATTAATAATAATTACTAATCTATCATATAAATACAATTTAATATATAATCTTCGAACAATTTATGCAGAAATTTATTTTACTTAGGAGCACGTGTATTTTATGGTTTCCAAATTTCAAAATATTTATTTTATCTTTGTTATATGTAATAAACGATTGCAAATATAAAACATACAATAATATGTTATTTTAAAATGGGTCGCAATTTATGGTTTGTGTTGTTATATCTCCAATATATATATATATATATATATATATATATATATATATATGTATATATATGGAAAATAGTAAGCTTGCGTGGGAATAATTTGTTTCCGACGCGTATACGGACTATGTATTTTATTTCCACGTACGAACGTAAAAAAGGAGAGATACTCGGAACATACTCAAAATATATTATTGTAACATTTAATAGCGTGGGAGCAAAAGTGCACGCGCGATAGAACGTAACTTGTAACACGTGTGCGCCATATTTGAGAGTCTATTCGCTTTCTCTTTAAAGTAACCTACTAGACAGAGTTTGGAGTTATTATTAGACCATTATTATTTTTTCGAATTACATTTTTGCAGTTAAATGTACAAAATGTTCTGCATCTATTATTAGTACTTTTTCCATCGGTCAATTTAAAAAGGCGATTATTCCTTAAATAGAAAGATTTAAATTAATCGAAGCATCGGAATTAAATTTTCGAAATCCTCAACTATTTTCTAATAATATAAAAAATATTTATAATTTGACATTAACAAAAATTTTACTTCAAAAATTAATGATATATATAGAATATTTTTGACAGAAATGATATAATAAGTAATATTATGTATAATAGGTACTGAAAGCATAATACATATATATAAGAAGGATCTCAGTAAATAAAAGAGATAATTACATCAAAATTACAAGCAAACATTTTAAAGATATAAGCTATAACGCGGCAAAATAAAACTTCTGTGTATTTTAATTAAAGAATGGCAATTTTGGGGGGACCCCGACGAGAGACGTCTGCGTTTGCACAAAAATTCGTTACGTTGCACACAAGGGTTGCGGGAATAAAATTTACAGCAGCTTGCTTAAGTTCGTTTCGCGCTAGGAGAAGTTTATCTCGTTTGCGTTGGGCGACGTACATCGTTCTATTTTTCTGCGTCAGATTTTATGAAATCGCCGCTGCCGCGTCACGAACGAAAGTTCAGGCGAAGAACATTCAGAAACTTTGGAGGTTTATTAGACTCGGTAGCACTCGTATTGTTATTAAGGCAAACTTTTCGTGAGTAATTAGAATGTTATTTTTGCGACAACTCGATACTCTTTCTCACTTTTTTTTTTATTATACACCAGATACACTCGTTCACATATTATTTGTAGGATATAATTAGTACAGTTATTATCCACAATATTATTT